ATACATAGATTTACGAAAATATATGTACAGTTTGGTCCGCACCAATTTGTGATCAGTGCCACACTCAGCTCCACGCAGTACACGTGTCATGCGCACTTCACGCACATATATATATATATATATATATATATATATATTGCAACAGTCTATGAATAGACATTGAGCCATCGGAAACCATGGAACTCAGAAGAAGGTACAGAAATAGTAAAGGGAAACACAACGTAACACATCGAAGTCCATGGTTTCGTCAGAGGGCGAGATACTACCCGGTTGCCCAAGCCGAAGTAGGGTGTTGACTTATGGGGACATCACCCCGAGCCTTTGGCTGAATACGCTGCCTGCAAGGCAACGGAGCGAATTCAGGGAATCACGCCCATTGGGAGCCGGTGACTGATTGCTCAGTTCATACGCCTTTCGTTTGTTCCTTTCTCAAACAGGGGCCCAATGGTCCCCAAAATTACAGCATAAAGTTGCTGGAATGCAATGCGTCGCCAGGATGAAGCAAGGGGCAGTGACTTTATTTAGTGGCAAGTCACGTCCGCCACGTCATAGTGTTGTTAAACGGACATATGTGGCTTTTTGTAGGGAGAACGCTTGTCAGGCGAAAACCCACCACGTCCTGGAACACTGCCACCGAATCATTTGCTGGAACGGGATTTACCCGAACCACCCAGCTGGCACCACGAGGAGGTTGTTAGGCAAGCCAGCCGAATGTAAGAAGTAGAAATGGTGGCCGATGTGCATGTTGTAAAAGTCCGTAGTTGTATGAGAGTGCACAATACTCGGTTCCCCAAACCGAAATAGGGGGTTGACTTGTGGAACCCTACTCCAAGCTTTTGGTTAAATAGCCTACATGCAAGGTAGCGGCGTGTATTCGGGGAATCGCGCCCATTGTGAGTCGGAGACTGAATGTTCAGTTCATACTTTTCTATTGGTAGATCGCCAAAAGGGACCCAATACTCCCCATGAACTGAGCACAATTGCTGGAGTACAGCGCCCCACTGAGGTGGAACACTGTCGCCGAACATTTCGCTAGAACGCTGTACCCCCGAACCACCCAACTGGCACTACCATGAGGTGGTTCGGCAAGCTAGCCAAGGTGCCTACTTGTCTACTACCCACCATCTCGCCTATATTGGCTCCAGGAGACAGTTGATCATTGTTGGTGGGGACGGGGTGCGCGATCCTTTTGGCCGTGCTAAGGTCGCAGAGTGATTCCATACATCCAGCTTGGAACGGGCTACTTCCCGACCACCACTTTGTTTACCTGTGGTACGCATGATTTTCCAATTAGGCCGGAATGCTTCTGCTCTGCTTGTTGAAGCAGTGCGTGCCGGCTCCGTTAATGAAACCTGGCTCCCATCCACATGCCTCACGGTCTTATTCCTTCTGGTTTTCACTGGACATAAAGTGTATGGATGGAGTCGTGGATGGTGCTGAGCAAGCCAAACGTTTCCCGTTTGTATGCGCTTTTGTCTTTTGACTGTCGTATGAAGACCGCAGTTATAGGCAACTCCGGAAACAGATGCAGCCAACCAGTTTTGTTACTTTTTGAGTTTTTGTATTATGTACTGTTTAGTAACTGTTTGTATTACGGCACGTTAACTGAGGTGTGTTAACGTGTATTGATGATGTTCGCCCTGCAAGGTAGAGTAGAGCAGCAACCCAGGCTGGCGCAATCACTGTACGCAATCAGTCTACCACCTTACAAGGATGTGGATACCGCAGTGTGATTGTATTGGTTTCGTGTACCAAAGGCCTGTCGATCTCGTCGTAGCAAATATTCCCTTTAGGTTGGTTGCGAACCAGGCGTCGAATTCGTCGTTCACCGGTGTTGCTTTACTGTAGTTATTGTGTTGGCCAGTGGCCGAAAGGTTGAGACGTATGCTTTCTACTCCAGAGATCGCAGGTTCTATTCTGCGCAGATGTGGCGGCCTCGAAGTATTACGATCCCACACGCGACTGCTGGTGGTCACATGGCAACGCCGCGTCGGCACTACATGCCAGCGTACTGTTGATGATTGTTCTTTTTTTTCTGCACCCAACACTGGAACGAAAACTTGCTACTGGAACTTCATCTGGAGATGAGTCTGAGGATCCTTGTTTAAGCTGATCTCAGCCAAGGACGGAAACTTGTAAATAAACACTGGGTTCGAACTTATTTCAGCAGTTTAAAGACGACTTAGGAACAATGGCCGTCTCGACGTTTCCACTTTCCACTGGCGATGTTCAAGTGCAGCAAGTGATCAAAGATCCGGACTTTCACACCTTGCTGCCAAACTGCCCAGATGATACTTTTAGACTTCGAATTCGCTACCTATCGGCATGGTTGTGCAATTGTGCAGCTATACCACTGACAACCCCATCAAACAATCCCTATCTTTCCACTTATGTGATCTTAGTTTGCTGCGACCACCAACTCGTCGAAGAATGTTGCCGTGAGAAGTTTGTAGATAATGGAAACAAGACTAATGTCTCGATGATTTTCTTACTAAGTCCGTTGATCCTTTTTGAAGATAGACACAACTGTTGACGGTCGCCAGTCTGACTGCACCTCTTCAGTGTCCCAAATCGTGATGAATAAAGCAGTAGGCTCGGTCAACAAAGAATCGACTTCATCTTTCAGCAAAGATAGAGGAAAGTCGTCGGGTCCAGGAGCCTGTGTTTCGTTTCAACGCGGATAGCTCATGTCGAATCCCTTCCGAAGTGGTAAGTGTGACATACTTCCCGCGTCGGTTCAGTTTATTCGGCAAGCGGCAGTACCGTAGCAGGTCTGATGAATTGCTCTTCAAAATGTTCCGCGCAACGGGCTAGTTGACGACCTTGAGGATGTATCAGCTGTTCATCATTCTCGACTATTTTCTCACTAACTGAGGGCCTTTCCCACCCCTTGTTCCGGACGAGCTGGAACATACACTCGGATGTTTCCAATAGCTCTAACTCACCACCTTACATGCCTTTGCCACGCACCAACCTTCCCTATCAATTGGAAGATTCCTTGTCAGACGTCGTTTCAGGGCCGCTGAAACTCAGTATTGATTGTCACCACTTTCCCTGCTTCGGTCCAACTGATCGATGTCTCAAGCACCAATTCACAACTCGAATTTCTCAGGTTGCGCCTACAGTAGGTGACAAAAGCATTCTTCTGGGCACTTTTGAAACGATTCTGGTCAGCGTTCGGTTGACCAACCTCATTTGTTCCTGAAAATTGGTCTGCCTGCTCGTCATGGTATTGTTGAACTTTAGGCTGCGACTTCTAGTTACTAGTGAGAGTCGCCTTGAAGCGAGTAGAGTGAACGCTAGCCAAGCACGCACTATTGCTTGGTCGGAATCCAAACACCTGCTCCAACTTGGACGGAATTACGACATCCATATCTGATGGCAATCTGGTCAATTTGGTCCAGATCTTGAAGGGATTCGGTGGACACCATGTGACCCGATGTGAACGTTTATGCTGGAAAGCAGTGTTGTTTATACATCGATTGTGATCGACGCATGGTCGAAGGAATCGATCGCCATTGTTCAGAGTTCGGAAGACGACCTTCTTGAACATTCCAGTCACCTGCAAAAATCACCATGTCAGTGCTTTTAGCCATGCGAAGAGATGGGACCTGACGATAGAAATGGTACGTCCTACCTTGCGAACTGCAGCCAGTGGGGGCATAAACGGAGGTGATGAATGAACATCTTTTCCTGAAACTGTGCTTATTAACCCCAATTGGAGTTCGAAGTCGAATCGCACTCAGGCGATTTTACTGGCATCCAGTCGAGTAGATTGCCTTCAGCATGTTTGCTGAGGACGATTCCGATACCGTAAATGCCTTGAGCCATTGACTCAGCATCGCCAGAGCCGCGTAGAATGTAGTCTTTATCGGCACATTAGGAACCAGGGGTCGAAGATTCACAGTGCTGTGATCTTGAAAGCGTGTTTTGGAGACAGCACCCATCAATACCAAGAGAGTGAGGAGTGAGTTAGTGCTGCCTGTTAGTCGATCTAACCCGGAGTGTGGACATTAAGCGAACTGATGTGAAATGAGGCCCTGGGTTTGAGAGAAGAGTTACACGAGATGGCTCTATGACTTTAGCATGATGTCTCTGTTGTAAATATGTTTGCCATTATACTTACATGTATTGATCGTAGCAGCGGCCAGGTCGGCGGTAGCCTCTTTTTCAGTAGGTGAGAAACAAGAGCTGTACGTAAACAGATCATAAGAAAAGGGAGTAATGTCGAAGGATCCAGGAGGGCAGATGATACTTTGCTTTGTTCGACATACCCTACATCTAGTCGTCTACTCAACGATCCCACCCACAAGGCAGTGGGGGGACATGAAGGTTCGCCTGAGGAACTCCATCTAAATCCTTAGGCTCAATGTCCTGTTCTACATGTCAGTGTTGCGGCATAGTAGCTGAGGCGTTTTCCACCTCTAGCTAAGGTGTATACTGATGATAATAATGACATGACAGCGGGGAGCAAATCCAGCACGGGAGTGTGATTGCAGAGACCCATTAAGATCGGCCTGAGATGTCACACACAGTTCTTAAATATTTAGTTGGCGGATTCGCACCGGTTTGAACAGGCAAGCGGTAACAAGCCATTGAGCACCGGGCAGTGCCCTTCCACCGTCAGGCAGTACCTGGCGCTCGTACCCTACGCCAATCGAGCTGTAAGCCTATAATTAGTAAAACTGTTGTCTCGCATAGGTAGGTTTTAAGGGAAACGGGTCGTCGACCTCTTTTTAACCTCTGGAGAGGATTGCATTGAGACTGAATTTGTCTGATCCCTAACCATTGGTTTGTCTGCTATAAAGGCACCTTTAAACTGCCACCCAGCGAAGCTCAATGGGACACGGGGGTACGCAAACTATGGCACCACCTTAAGGTGCAGTCTCGTTACATTGACCACACATTCTTTGTCATGTGTTAGGGCAGTGACACAGACGACCGACTATTATAGTTTTCCTTGACCTTAAACTCACCTTCGACTTTGTTGATCAATCCAGGTTGTCGAACTGCTGATCCGTGAAAGGCTGGTCTAGAAATCTTTCTATTCTGATCTCTCTGTCGCGACTCCTGAGGCAGACAGAGTCTACTGGAAGCTGTCTCCTGAGTTCCGCACGATAATTGCGATTCTTCAACTTGGTGATCAAAATGATCATGAATGACCTCGTTCTTCCAGACAATACCGGAGTGGAATTTCTGTGAGGTAACCGACTGACAGACGTTGATTATGCCAGTGACATACCTCTCCTTGGGTCTGACGCAGTTGCTATGCATCATCATTATATTATACATTAGCTGAAGATGTGAGACACTTCAGCTATACGAAAACGCATGATACTGAACATCACAGAATGCCAAAATACTTGCAACGCACTTTTCATTAACCAAACATCATTTCGGGCCTTAACCAAGGAGCCGAGAAGCTCCAACCGAGGTCAACATCGAAGTGGCGGTTTTCATCGCCTTCCTCCTCTTTTCCTCTTTCTTCAAGACCCCATGCGCAACGCACGACGCGGAACTCGGTTTACTGGCATGTGCAACACGTGACCCAGCCATCGAACTTTGGTTCGTGAAGTAACGGTGCTGACCGGTTCACTCATTCTTCCTGCACCAAATACACGACGCTGAACACGGTCATTGCTCACACGGTGTTCCCAACAGAGATGAGATAAGCTGCGGAGGCAGCGATGATCGAACGTAACCAGCCTCTATGCACAACACGTGACCTAGACATCGGAGCCTGGTGCGTAATAAAACGGAGCAGAGCGGTCCACTCGCTCTTTCTGTACCACAATTATGCCTCACCACCACAACCAAATGTGAGCTAAGCTGCGAAGGCAGAGATGATCGAACGTAACTAGCCTCTATGTTTGTCAGCCTCATGGGTCAGATTTCACAACATACAGGTGGGTTGAACGCACGGGTGCATTGCAAACTCTGCGCAAAACAGCAAAAGCGCATCTGGCTTTTTCTGGTTGGTTCTTGACCTCGTCTTCTATTCCACAGGTTTTAATGTAACTGCCGGAGTATTTAAATTTCTGAATGACTCCTAGCTGATTACCAAGGATCAGCGCAGAGGTAGGTTGCTACCAATCTTGGAGAAAGACTGTATTTCGAGGGTGCAAATCATAGCCTAAAACGACTGACAACCAGAGCTAAGTTGTCCAGTGTTGCTTTCGAGTTGTCACAGATAAGAGCAGTGTCATTGGTAAACTCCAAGTCAAGAAGTCGCCCACCAGAAAGTAGATCCACACATTGTAGATCGTGTCCAATGAACCCAGTTTCCATGACTGTCAATGGCGAAGTTAAAGAGGGAAGGTGACAGCAGGCAATCATGTCTCACACTGCTCGTGATATTGAATGGCGGCGTCGGTTTGCCATAAACACTCATTCTGCCTAACTATGCACATAAAGCGCTCTGATAATGTTTACATACTTTTCGAGCACACCTTTTCTGAGTAGACAGTCCTAAAAGCCACATTGATCAACCGAATTGAACGCACGTTTGATGTCGAGGAACACGACTATGATGGGTCGCCAGTAAATGTGGCTGTGCTGCAACCATTGACGCGAGAGTGTGACCAATACAGCGGTGACTTCGACCAAGCCCTGCTTGGCCTTCACGAAGCTGACTTTCACGAGTTCCAGCCGGTCAGTGTAGAACGACAGATACACTTGAGATCAGATTTATTCCTCTATGATTGTCGCATTTGAAACGTGAGCCTCCTTTGAAAATTAGGACTGTAGCAGAGCGTCTCCAATCTGTTGGGACATTTTTCTGCTCCCACGGCTTCACAACTTCTGCGAATACTCCGAATTTGAATAAAGGTGGAAGATGTCTGTCAGCTGCTGTGGCCTTATTGACTTTCAGCTATCCGATCTCAGCTTCGACTACTGCGTTTGAAGGCGGGTTTAAGGGGCCGGCTCAGGGATAAGGGCTAGCTTTTGCTGGTGGAGAAGCTGGTTACTCTGGTTGATTAAGGTACTTTTCAGAGCGTTCGGCCCGACGCTCTAAAGGTTTGGACAAACAATGCATTAGATGTCCACCCTCTTCAAGTGTGGTCTCACTAACACTATGCCTTCTGCCCGTTCCCCGTATCCTACGGAATAATTCGATGTTACCATGAGTAGTGATCATTTACATCTCTTATTCACGAGTAAACCACCAGGCTTTGCGGTCTCTTTTCAAACTAGCACGCAGTTTCGCCACAAGGTCTTTGTGAGTCTCGTATTTGCTCTCAGCCGGAACATATCGGTGAGCATCTGGAATTTCCAGAGACTTCGTGGAGACCCCAAATCTAGGTTGGTGATTTGACTTGCCATATGAAGATATACCTGCTGCTAATAACCACTGGTGGATATGCGACTAGTGACCCTCTACTTTGTTCAAGGACCGCTTACTCAGGCGGATGCCAACTTACTTTGATACATATTTGAAACATCTGGCTTTGCCAGCTGGTAACTATCCATGCGCTCATAGCGTCGCCGCTTGTGCACAAACAAGTGCGTGGTCAGTGTTCGCGCTCGTGCTACAAATCAAGCGAAAGTTTTGACCCTAGCCTCTCTAGTGGTAGCTGATCGCGATATCATGGATTTGGTCCAAGGCTAGTCCGATGCTGGTGGGCGGTGGATGCTGTGTCGGGTGTTAGTGATCGCGAGAAATAAACAAGTGGATTCAATCAGGTGTAGCAACCACTCACCGTTATCATTACGGGAGGCTTCACCGTGTTAGTCGCTTGGCTCCAGCTCTTCGGTGGATCATTTTCTAATTTGGGCGTTCAGATCGCCAACCAGCACCACAGCGTCGTTACTTCTTCTATAATGAAGGCGATCGTTAGCTTTGTGGTAGAAGTCATCTTTCACTGTGCCAGCTCTACAGCTTTTGGGCGCGGACCTCAGCGATCCGTATATATATATATATATATATATATATATATATATATATATATATATATATATATATATATATACATGATGTTGCATACTTGATGCTCTTTCACCGCAGTTGGGCTAAACCAACTTACACTTAAACTAGGTCTTTTTCAGCTGGCTAAATTTCATTCCGCTTTATTTGGTTTGTTCTGCCTCCCTGAATAATGTTCTATTAACTGGCCACGTTGCTAACACTAATTGCGCTTATCTTCGATAATTTTGTTGCGTTTGTAGCATTTTAAGTAACTTGTGTACATTTCTTACTTATCACGGATTTGTTGCTAACCAACTTACTTCATATGGTAATTTAGCGAAGAGTTATGCCACCGTATCTGTATGCATTATTGGATTTATTTTATTTCAGCTTGTCGTTTAAAGTGAATGGCTGTTGTTTGATATCCCTGGTATGGTTGCGCTTGATGTGTATGTTGACAAGGTGCCTACCTGTCTATTACCCACTACATCGTTCATACTGGCTCCAGGAGACAGTTGGTCGTTGCTGGAGGGGATGGGGTGCACGGTTCTTGTGGCCGTGCTAGGCTCAAAGAGCAGTTCCATGCACTCAGTGTGGAGCGGACTACGGTCCAGCCACCGCCTTGTGTGCGGCTGATTCCCCAAATACAGCGTGCTTATGTTTGCCTGTGAAGGAGTGTGGGCCGGCTCCGTTGATGAAACGTGGTTCCCATCCGCATGCCTCCCGGTCTTATTCCTTCGGGTTTACACTGGATATGGGGTATGTGGTGTGAGCTGTGGGTGGTGCAGCGCAAGCCATCCATGGTCCCTCTGTAGGCGCAGGCGTCCTGTGGCTTGCCACAGTGACAGGCAAATCCGAAACCGGATGCCGCCAACCATATATATACATTGAACCAAAGGCTCCAGGTGGAGTCCCTCAAACAAACCTTCAAATCACCCACCGCCTTATGGCTCAGGCTTTTGAGTAAAAGGCTACGGGTGGAGTCCCTCAAGCAAACCTCCGAAGCACAACCGCTACCTCGCGTGCGATTGCCCACCAATGCAATCGTATGCCTGCGCGCAAAGCACTCAGTATCCAGTGCTGGAACGTGCGTACCCTATTGGGCCAAAATTCGAGTGAGCGCCCCGAGCGACGCACTGCACTGGTCGCGATGGAACTGGCGCGCTACCACATCGATATTGCGGCGCTCAGTGAAACTCGGCTCGCTGAGCAAGGCAAGTTGCATGAGGCAGGTGCTGGCTACACATTCTACTGGGTGGGCAACGCCGCCTCAGCACCACGTGATCATGAGGTCGGATTTGCAATTTCAGATCGCCTCCATGGCCAGCTCGTGGGTGAACCAACAGACATCAGTGCGCGACTGATGACTGTTTGCCTACGACTCGGAAGAGATAAGTTTGCCACATTTGTAAGCACGTGCGGTCCGACCATGTGTTATCCTGATGACACGCGTGATCAATTCTACACTCAGCTATCCTCCGTGATACGGTCTGTGCCGAGGAGCGCCCAACTATTTCTGCTAGGTGATTTCAACGCGCGCGTTGGGTGTGATGCATTGGTGTGGACAGATGTTGTCGGTCCGCATGGGATTGGTTCAACAAGTGCAAACGTTGACAGGCTGCTCTCACTGTGGGCCATTCACGGCCTGACGATCACGAACACTCGCTTTGCACTAAGTGCGAGTGATATAGCAACTTGGTCGCACCCACGGAGTGGACGCTTACAGTTTGCGCGCCTGATGGTCTCCTCGGCAGCATCTGTCACCTGTTGCTCCACAGTATCGAGGGAGACTGGACCTTAACGTGGTGCGACGGTTTGCGTACCTCATTGACCCATTGAGCTATACTGGGTGATGCCTCCGAGCATCTTGAGAGCTACTCCTACCAGGTTGGTCAATGGTGAGAGGTCAGACAAACTCAGTCTCCTGGTCCTCCAGGTTGGGGGTTTGAAATGGGATGGCGTCCATTTCTGTAAAACTAAATCACTGCCACCCCGCTGCCTTGCGGACAGGCTTTTGAGCCAAAGGCTTTGGATGAGGACCCTAATCGTCCTCCTGTCTAGGTCTGGGCGCCCTGGCAGTATCTCAACCCACATGCAACCATGACATTTTCTTCAAACATAAACTTCATCCTGCATCGGCCGTCGCGCAGATTATCAAGGGTCGCCTTATCTGCTGCATACAGCAGGGCGGATAAGCGAAAACATGCTATTGCTGGCACCTCCCTTCTTACTTTTTCACCTTTTTCTCTTACTCCCATCCCGACCCCATTACTAACCTTCCTTCTATAATTCCCAGC